ATTCGAGTGACCGCGAAACCCTGAAAAAGGGTGTGGCCGAAAACGCCACTATTGCATTTATTTCAAAAATGCAATAGTGGCCAAATGTTTTAAGAATCATCTTGAGAGGTGATAACCGTTGAGAAATCGCTTTTAACACGAAAAGCTAACGAGATTCCGTTTCGTCTCAGACTACTAATCAGGTCCATTTATCCACCTGACCTGCTTATGGAGAGGAGTGGTGACGACAATAAGTCCGTAAACTATCTCGACATCAACATCTCGATGAATAACTCCGGACACGTCGCCACCAAGCTTTACAACAAACTTGATGACTTCAACTTTCCTGTGGTCATGTACACCTTTCCTAACAGTAATATTTCCTCTTCTGTTGGTTATAATGTTTTTTACGGTCAGGTCCTTCGTTACTCTTCCATTATCTCTGACCTTGATTCTTTTCTGTGTTCTACCAACACCCTTTATAGGACACTTCTTTCAAGATGTTATAATGACAGACTCCTGAAGAGTAAATTCAGAAAGCTTCTGAAAGACCGACCTAGTATTCTGTACAAATACAGTATACTTGATGTCAGCGACATCCTTGACATCACATTTAACGTGAACAGGTGATCACTGACGAGTGATTGCTAGGGGGTCTTGGCACATTAAACCGGTACAGGTATTAAACCCCCGAAACCGGTGTGCCAAGTCATCTGCTGATGATGTTCACATAACATTATTTCCTCTCTCCTTTATTCCTTCCGTCTTTTCTTAAACTTACAGTTCAGTTACTTTATTTCACCAGGTCTACCTAAGGATCAATTATTCTTTGGTGGGGTTTCACTTCTGGTATTGGCTTCATTCCCGTTCCTTTTCCTTATTCTTTATACTTATTTTTTTATATAGTTTAATGAGATTCTAGGTGCTGTACTTACTTACTTTACTTGCTTTAAAATGTCTTTGAATGAATTCTTTGCAAAAATGATATTTGTGCCCAGCTTTAATTTAACCAAGCAGTTGAACTTTAAGATAGGTCATAACCTGAGCGATAAATTTGGAAACTTAAGTGATCTGTAATTGCCAATTTACATTAGCAAGGCCCTATCATGTAATTACAGTGTATAATCAAGCACAGAAAATATTCCACTTTAAACTGTTTGATAAAACAAAAGAAACTTCAAGTAGATAATTGCAGTAAAATAGTGGACAATCCTTGGTTTCGAGAGTTTCAAACAAAATTAAAACGTTTATGAAATCAACCAGAAAATAACAGTGAAAAAGCGAATAATATGCGCATAGCGCTCGATTTCTATCGTCAATTCGATTTTTTCATGCGTTTTACGAGTGCGCGGCGTAAAAATCGCGATCTTGATGAACGCTGAGCTAACATTGCTACCCGGTGGATAAAAATTATTTACATCTTGACTAAAACATTGGTATAAAATTTTGTACAATCGAAGAAAAAAAATTCTGTGCTCGCGCTTGGCGCTTATTACACTGACTACACATACTTTTTGAAATCTTAATTATCTCATGAAAACCTCCTAAAAGTAATTGGAATTGTTCAAATTTAGGAATAGCGCAGTCTAGTTAAGAACGTGAGCACTGGGCGACATATTAATAAGCACGTACGTACGTTCGGTCGTTTGTGCGACGGACACAAGCTACCATATTAAAAAATCTCGTTCGCTAACCCTTGTCCTTGACTCTTTTGTGCCTTCGGCACTTGAGTCATGGATCAGGAAAAATATACGCGTAGGAAGTTGTATCTGGGGTCCCTGGCAGAAAATTCCCGTAATACCTTTTGGTTCTATACTATCGTGTTATCAATTACGAAATAAAATCTTTGTTCTAGCAAGACGGCACTTTCTGAATACTTGAATACGTACGATACGCCATACGGTCGTACTCGTTGTTTTTAGCTATAATACCGAATACGGTACGCGTGCGCTTTGGAGTACAAACAACGGTTATACGTGATTTGGTCTTTGGTCCTAGGTAAACGACAATATGCGTAACGCTTAATCTTGAACATTTCTGAAATTGTCAGTACATATATAAACTAGACCTGCAAAAGCCAGTGGAACGGCCCATAGCAGGGTAACCACTAACCACTACCAGGATGGCCCGGTACCCAAAAACAGCTAATTAACTTACACGGATAAAAAGGTAACAGTTGGAAAAAATAGATAACAATACTATACCAGTATAAGATTCAGAGTTCAGAAAGATCAAACCGGGTTGTTCCTTTTGTTAGTCTTTGGGAGAATCCATAGATGACTGTAGTGTTCTTCTTTATATATCCTTTGTTCTTCGTATCGATGTAGCCTTGACCTTGCGGAGGGTTTTCTGTGACGTGAAGTTAAAGATAATATGTCGTGTATGGTGTTCTACGGTCCTGAGAGGCAACATGTTATCAGATTATCTTTAGAGATTATCTTTAAAGGACTGGAGGGGTCATTATAACATAAATTAGTGGAAAATTTAGGAGAACTTGGTATAACGTGGTTGTCCAATGTCCCTTAGTCCTTACACGTGATATCGAAGCAGGGGAATTTCTAAATTGAACTCCTAACAAGAACTTATGCTTTTAACAAAAGATACTCTATTTCCAAATCGTGACGTCACTTTCCTTTGTTATCCGGATACTCATGGGGTCACGTCCCGATGGAGGGAAAACACCTCAGGTCCACAGTATACACAGTAGCACTATTGTTATTGCTTTATTGCTGTTGTTTACTGTTTAGGGAGCAAACTTGCCTCATATAGTAGGTCTAACATCAAGATCAGAGTATCCACAGTGGCACTGTTGTTATTGCTGTTGTTTAGGGAGAAAACTTGCATAACTCAGAATATACTGACTCACTGAGTAAATTACCACTTTGTAGACCGGACGATTAGGCGTTAGGATATGGGCCACACTCAGTTACCGCCCCTATCCCTTAGAAAACTAGGGAGTCCAAAAACGATTTCAACAGTGTGAACCACTGCCTGACTGACCTATGGATATTATATAGTTCGCCAGACACTATTGCTTCTTTGAAAACTTTAACCTCGTTATTTACTTATTTATCAACCAACAGCCCTCTAACAGCCGGATAATAGCCTTAACAATTGTAAACACAAGCGTCGGCTGTTAGAGGGATGTTACCTAACAGTCGACTGTTAGAGGGATGTTACCTAACAGTCGGCTGTTAGAGGGATGTTACCTAACAGTCGGCTGTTAGAGGGATGTTACCTAACAGTCGGCTGTTAGAGGGATGTTACCTAACAGCCAGCTGTTAGAGGGATGTTACCTAACAGTCGGCTGTTAGAGGGATGTTACCTAACAGTCGGCTGTTAGAGGGATGTTACCTAACAGCCAGCTGTTAGAGGGATGTTACCTAACAGTCGGCTGTTAGAGGGATGTTACCTAACAGCCAGCTGTTAGAGGGATGTTACCTAACAGTCGGCTGTTAGAGGGATGTTACCTAACAGTCGGCTGTTTGAGGGATGTTACCTAACAGTCGGCTGTTAGAGGGATGTTAGTGTTACCTAACAGCCTGCTGTTAGAGGGATGTTACCTAACAGTCGACTGTTAGAGGGATGTTACCTAACAGTCGGCTGTTAGAGGGATGTTACCTAACAGTCGGCTGTTAGAGGGATGTTACCTAACAGTCGGCTGTTAGAGGGATGTTACCTAACAGCCAGCTGTTAGAGGGATGTTACCTAACAGTCGGCTGTTAGAGGGATGTTACCTAACAGTCGGCTGTTAGAGGGATGTTACCTAACAGCCAGCTGTTAGAGGGATGTTACCTAACAGTCGGCTGTTAGAGGGATGTTACCTAACAGCCAGCTGTTAGAGGGATGTTACCTAACAGTCGGCTGTTAGAGGGATGTTACCTAACAGTCGGCTGTTTGAGGGATGTTACCTAACAGTCGGCTGTTAGAGGGATGTTAGTGTTACCTAACAGCCTGCTGTTAGAGGGATGTTACCTAACAGCCAGCTATTAGAGGGATGTTACCTAACAGTCGGCTGTTAGAGGGATGTTACCTAACAGTCGGCTGTTAGAGGGATGTTACCTAACAGCCAGCTGTTAGAGGGATGTTACCTAACAGTCAGCTGTTAGAGGGATGTTACCTAACAGCCGGCTATTAGAGGGATGTTACCTAACAGCCGGCTGTAAGAGGGATGTTACCTAACAGTCGGCTGTTAGAGGGATGTTACCTAACAGCCAGCTGTTAGAGGGATGTTACCTAACAGTCGGCTGTTAGAGGGATGTTACCTAACAGTCGGCTGTTTGAGGGATGTTACCTAACAGTCGGCTGTTAGAGGGATGTTAGTGTTACCTAACAGCCTGCTGTTAGAGGGATGTTACCTAACAGCCGGCTATTAGAGGGATGTTACCTAACAGTCGGCTGTTAGAGGGATGTTACCTAACAGTCGGCTGTTAGAGGGATGTTACCTAACAGCCAGCTGTTAGAGGGATGTTACCTAACAGTCAGCTGTTAGAGGGATGTTACCTAACAGCCGGCTATTAGAGGGATGTTACCTAACAGCCGGCTGTAAGAGGGATGTTACCTAACAGCCGGCTGTTAGAGGGATGTTACCTAACAGCCGGCTGTTAGAGGGATGTTACTTAACAGCCTGCTGTTAGAGGGATGTTACCTAACAGTCGGTTGTTAGAGGGCTGTTAGGATTTTCCTTTAGCCAAAGAGCTGACCGTGATGGGTGAAAATGGCTGTTAGTCATGTTAGAAATACAATTAAATTGGCTATTAGCCGGCTATTAGATGGCTGTTAGAAATACAATTAAATTGGCTATTAAGGGGGGTACACCCTGATTTTTTGTTTTTATTTAAACACAAAATCCACAGTTAGGTAGATATTGAGCTGATAATCATAGAAAATGTGTAGACTGTAGTTTAGGCTTATCTTTTATATAAAGTTGGTTTCATTCAAAAATATTGATGTTTGAGCAATTTATGGGCTGAAATCAATCAAATTTGGTGCGTATTTTAATTTAACAAACCCTTAGAAGACTATCCTCACGATGATTATGTTCCTGGCACTTACACTGTTGGTAACCATGGTAACAGTAACTGCCGCGTCAGAGGATTTGGAAATGCTTGAGAAAACAGCAGAAGACATAAGGCATCTGAGTCCAGGCTCACGGAACCTGTTTTGGGTAATTCCCCACATTGACAACCTCATTCGGGAGTTCGAGTGTGAACGAGAAGCAACCAGTTGTAAGGCTTGGCAAGCTAACACCATGCTAATGAAGCTAGAGTTTGGTCTCGTGAACTGTGAGAGTGTCAGTTTACTGGAGGTAAGAGTTTTTGCGTCTGCCACGTCCTAGACCTAAACTTTTTCTATCTGTCTAAACACAAAGACTGAACAACATTCGCTGGAATCGTGAATCCCATATTTATTACTTTATCATATTATGTCTATTATATTGTTTTGACTATTACGATTGTAATATAAAACTTTTGATTTGTAATCCTTGCAATCCTTGCAATCCTTGCAATCCTTGTAATCCTTGTAATCCTTGCAATCCTTGTACTCCTTGCAATCCTTGCAATCCTTGCAATCCTTGTAATCCTTGCAATCCTTGTACTCCTTGCAATCCTTGTTGCTTGTAATCCTTGTAATCCTTGTAATCCTTGTAATCCTTGTAATCCTTGTAATCCTTGTAATCCTTGTAATCCTTGTAATCCTTGTAATCCTTGTAATCCTTGTAATCCTTGTAATCCTTGTAATCCTTAAGGTAGATTCGGAGCTCTGTCAGGATGCGAGGGAGTTTTTGGGAGATGACAAGGCGGAGCTGAGTGATGACGACATTAAACAGGGCCTGATAGCGAGCTTTGATCATGACGTCATATACACTGATGAGTACTTCGACTTGGTCAATGCTGTCTCCTTTGCCATGGGGAACTATATATGTAAAAAGGATCCTGAATCGTGTGACATTATAAGGTATTTTTACATATATAAATATATAATTAATAATAATAATAAAATATATAAATATATATACATTTCAAACAAAGAGAAACACTCAAATTGGCGGACAAATGATCCGTTTCACGATACCTTAGTTCGTTTATTTATGGTGGGTAATATTGTGGCGGGTAAAAATAATGGCGGGTAAAAATATGGCGGATTTTCGGAAACTTTAACCCGCCAATTATTTAACTGCAATATTATTTTCATAAAAAAACTTGAAAATCCACCGAATTTATCAGTCATAATCATATTGCAAAATGTTACCAAATTTTCCTTTCAGACTGCGTTTTTGTTTGCAGTTTCAAAGTAAAATAAATTAATCCGTTTAATGAATAGGTAGTAAGTTAAAATACCTTATCGGACATAATTGTCACGGACAAGTTTTTCAGGGAACAAACTTTTCACGGACATAATTATTCACGCTCATGACCACCCAAAGATTTCCAAAAAATTTTAAACATTTTTGGTGATTTTTTAAGAAGTTTTTTACCCTTTTTCTGAACTCTAGAATGTGACTGAGGAGTGATTATATTTGTCATAGTATACTAATAAGCTAATACTAATAGTAATATAGTAATCGGCTACACACATATCTACGCATATGTAGGGACACTCACATTAACATTAATGGAAATGATTTATTTAACTTTATTATTCACGGACCTTAATGCCACAGATATTATTTTTATATATCAGTTTAACAATGAAATTCATTTTCAGACAAGCCAAGAAAGACTCCAAAGAGTTTGAGGAAAAAACCAAAGCTCGCCGTCGTGTTTAACAATCTCTGAGAGACCACAAAGAAAATGGAAACGCTTTTATTCTCACAAAGATTTTATTTCTTTCGAAAAAATTTAGATCTGGTATTAGTAATATTCGATATTCAATTTGTTTGTTTTTTTGAAAAGGTAGGTGTTACTGTTATCTCAAATTTCTGCAAGCTGAAAATTCTTGTTTCACTTATTAATCGGGAGTATTAGATTTATTGATTGACGAGTACTACCGGAAGCAGTACTCGGCACTAAAATGTTTAATTACAATCAACTTAAAGTTATAATATTAATATATATTATATATATAATTATATATAATATGTCTTGCGATCTGATTTACTTAATAATAAAAGGTGCAGGACCATGTTATTGCCAAATTAAATAAATACTTGGCATTTAATACCACATTTTTAAATGATATAGGTTATGATGAGGTTAAAAAGAGATTAATTTAAAATTTCCGGGGCAAGATCCGACAGCCTGAAATTTTTTCTTTCTTTTCTTTCCGACAGAATCCGGGAAATAGATTGATATCAGGCCATTTCCGGTCCGGCAGCCAAAACCCCAGACCGGTTGGTTCCTAACCTGCTACTTCATAAAAATTATTTATTATTTTTCAAACATTTCTGGGGCTCACCCTGTACATTTTAGAAGCTGTACAGTTTTGGAATCACTTTGCTGCGTTCTTCTAATAAAGTTAACACATTGAACTGGTATTTAATATACTGTGGAGATATTATATGAAACCCAACATAGTCATATGTGATAAACACACATTTTTAGTCCAAGTGTACGGTTGCAATGTGGTCAGGATAAACGGACTTTTAACAGGTGGATCTTACTATGGTTACCACTTTGACTTACCATTGGTTACTATGGTTACAGTGGTCATCACTCATCATGGTTGCTAGTCTCTACTTGTTTTTACTCGATTACTAGTTTAACTGTCATTTGTTTAGAAACTTTATCTGATATTAAATAATGTCATCAGCAGCTGAGCAGCTGATCTTCTAGCGAAGTATTCTTAACTTAACGTCCATCTAATACTAAACATATGGTACAACTAATTATAATCAAACCGATTGGTAAACTGAGGTTAATACAGCAAATTGTGATGAATTTCTAAAAACACTGCCAAAGTTTCATCCACTTACGTATATACTAGTACAGTTCTATCCCTCTCCGTACGGACTCCTTCATAATAACGACAGTCTGCCGTCTGGTATTAAACATAGTAACAAGGAACATATTACCTCAGCCTTTAGCTCTTTTAGCTTTTTAGACCCCTCTCCTTCTTTTAGACCCTTCCTGTCTTCCTCCTCCCATTGCAACCTCCGTTAGCAATTTTACACATAGCTAGCTTCTGCTTACGTAATGTGTGATCCCTAAGAAACACTCTATTTTTAAACATGCTCCAGTGTGTTCTTAATTGCCATCATGAGATGTGCTTATTCAGCAGATCCTTGTTTATGTTATTGTGAACACATGGCGATTGGCGACGTTTTGAGTAGTTTTGTTTTTCAGGTTGCTCTATTTTCAGGTTGCTCTATTTTCAGGTTGCTCTACTTTCAGGTTGCTCTATTTTCCAGGTTGCTCTATTTTCCAGGTTGTTCTATTTTTCAGGTTGCTCTATTTTCCAGGTTGCTATATTTTCAGGTTGCTATATTTTCCAGTTTGCTCATTTTTTCAGGTTGCTCTATATTCCAGGTTGCTATATTTTCCAGGTTGCTCTATTTTCAAATTGCTCCATTTTTCCGGTTGCTAAGAACTCTTGTTATGTCAGTGAATTCAATAAGAGGATTCTTCATATTTGTATTTTACTAACTTGTTTTTACTTGTTATTTAATTTTTTAGTTCAACTTGTTGAGAAGGCGAATCACTGAACAACAATGCTGGGTTTTATCGCTACACTTCTCATCCTTCCGTCAGGTTAGTTTTAAGTTAACTATTTCCTGGATTTAACATATTATATAGATAATTAGTAATTAATCATCAATCATCAATTACTGATAAGAAAATATTTCATAAACAACCGTATATATCGGATCATTAAGACTATTATATTATAGACTAACAAATTACAAATACTCAGCCAATATCTAATACAAACTTTCCTAGAAACATCCACTGTTCTGAATCTAAAATAACCGCAGTGATCAAAGCTAATTGTGACTCGTTGGGGGATGCTGAGAATGTAGCTAGCATGGTCCCCTTCGAAATAGATCAATACGAAGAGGACACTGAAGTCTTAATGACATGCAGGAACAACTTTATCATTTCTTGGGCTGCTTCTGTCGAAGACATCAGTGCTAATGTTAGGTGTAATTCTGGTAATTTCTCTCCAGAGCCACAAGTAGATAGTTTTGGTGGTACAGTAGGTTGTGTTGGTGAGTTTTAACCTTTTTTGCTTTCTATTATTGTTCGAGAATCGAATATGTTGTTTATGTTATCAAACACAACAACAAAAATGGAAGAATGGGCTATGCAACATTAATTGAAATGTTGGGTTATATGCAGATTTCAAATATCCCAAGAGAAATTAATTATTGTTATCTATCTATTCATTCACGAATCAAGTTTTGACGGATCTATATTTTATTGTGATTGTATCACTACTACTATCTTACTATATAATTAGTACTATATAATTGTTATTTAATTACTATTATTTATTACTATTACTACTATTTAATTAATAACTCTCAGCGTGTGTGGAAGGAGTAGCTGATTGTACAGACGGAACCTGTACGGACGGGACATGTGAGTGTAAGCAAGGCTTTGAGAGGGCAGATCACAGTGACCCCCGACTCTGTACAGTTGTACAGTGTCACTCCCTCACTCTTACTAATCAGGTATAATTATATCACATAACCGATTTCAGTTTATAATTAAGATCTCATTGATAAGACTCAGATCACGATTCTGTAGCATACAGGACCTCCGGTTTTCGAAAGAATCTGATTTGCACTATAGTTAGATTGTAACTTTTATATTTTCTATGCCTCCACAAATGTAAGAATCAATTCAACATGACAGCGACTGAAAATTTCGCTGCTACTTCTGACCAATCTGAATCAGGCTGCTGATACGCCAGGACCCTACGATGTTAACAGTGACGTCATAGTCACGTGCTCCGACGGGTTCCACGTGACGGGTACTGGTGGTACTGAACACGTGCAGACTCTTACTTGTGATGACGGGGGGAATTTTAATCCTGTCTTAAAATCTTGTGTTAGTAAGTACACAGAATCATATATATATATATAACACTAATTTCTGACTGTCCGATAATAAAATAACATTCCCATAAATTGATTAACTACGTTGTTGGTCCTGGGGCAAATTAGCTCAATCCTGCTGACCTAAACATTTGTTTACCATTATTAACATTTAACCTTAAACTTCACTTCAGTGTGCTCTGACTCTGATGGGTGTACAGGCGGGATATGTAATGCTAACAAACAATGTGAGTGTGATGAAACAGACGGTTACAAACTTGTAAGTAAATATTGGGAATATTCCCATCTTTGCAATGTTCTATTAAGATATTTGGAATCTTCCCATCTTCACGATGTTCCGTATTGCTTTTTAAGTTTTTAAGCATGCGATTGTAAATTCAGGATAGTACATCATCTACAAAGAACAAACTAGTACATATAGTACACCATTTCAGAGTGCTGATGATTTAAGTGTTTGTGAGAAGGTATTATGTACTGATGATCACTGTTCTAATAACGGGATGTGCTCTGTTAAGGGTGCTGAGTTGGAGTGCGACTGTCCAACCGGTACAACCGGAGATACTTGTGCTAATTTTAACGGGTAATTATAATTATTGAGATTGATGACTTCATTGATGACACTAAAATATTTGATTTCGTCAAAAAAAATAGTTTCGATCACGTTTTAGTGTTAATATTTTGTACATCAACATTAAAGATTATTTCAATCCTAACCTTTGCAGTGAACCTTGCGGAGAGGATCCCTGTAAAAACGGGGGCGCATGTTCACGTGACATGAGCGACCCTTTAGATTACAGCAAGCACACGTGCAGCTGCACTACTGGTTTTACGGGTCATCAATGCGAAGGTATTTTATTATTTATTACACTTTTTAATTTGGAGTTAATCGAGGCCTACGTCAATGTCACATTTAACTTAAGTCATTGTTTTTTGTAGAGGCTGGACATGGTGGCCTACAGACTCACAGAGGATGATACTGTAATATAACTTACATGGTTCTGTCGGTCCGTTTTTAGCTGTTAAGTAATACACACAGAGAGTATGTATACATGCAGTGACTACTGACTGGGGCCTCATTGCATACGAGTCAACGACACATGACCATCCATCATCTCATCATATCATTATGCCAAATAAGTAAGAGCTTGTTGACATATTTCTCTTTTTTAACTGAAAGTGAAAGAAAACCGACGTGTATTAACATAGGTGATCGTTATTCAAAAACAACAGCCACATCTGCAGAGGAGGCTATGCTAATCTCGTGTCTTCATTAACAAATATCAATAACAGTTGTCAAAGTTTCGTCGATCATATAATTAATTATTATAAATGATTATTTATAAAATATTTCAGAAGTAGCGGACGGCCCTAGTTCTGAAAACGAAGACGAAAGCGAGGATGACGATGAAGATGACAATGAAGAGGACGATGAAGATGAGGGGAAAGACAATTCAACAGGATGCATTTGTCTTGGAAACGCCATTAGACTATTGGTGGCTACTGCAATGTTGTTATCTTAAATTAAGAACCAGTTTAATTGCTCCGTTTAGTTGGCCAAGTTCACATTCTGATACTTTTTAAAGACATGTTTAAGACAAGTGAGGTTCCTGGTTAAAACCCGTAATGGTAAATTTAATTTGATCTCTTTTAATAAGGGGTCGTTCACATATTACGTAATCATTTTTAATAATCATAGTAATAATGATAGTGAAATACAAAATTTACTAGAAATCAATTGTTAAAATACATTAAAAACTCACCCTGAATCTAAAATAAATTTACTAAATTATTTACAGTCAGCATATTCAAGTTGCTTACGTGCGACACAGATAACGTCGAAAGATATTATATAATGTAGTTTAGCCATCTTCATGCAAAATTACTGTCATATGATCATAATATAGTCAAATAAAATATTTCAAACAACCTTTTATCAACGAATGATACATTTTGACCGTAATCTGGTGCATTCGTGTAGTTTTATTGAATCTCATGATTTGGTGTTTCTTTCATTCAAATTTCTGATTGTTTCTGAATAGACTCAGTGAATATAGATTCTGATGGAAATCTGTCTTCACTGAGTCTATTCAGAAACAATCAGAAATTTGAATGGAAGAAAAATTTTGACCGTAGATAAGTTTTAATCACAATCTGAAACAATGAAAATATACATATTTATACCCCAACTCCCACAATCTATTATGAAAGGTCAATTCATTACATATCACGTGACTACTCCCTCAAATCACGTGACCTCGGGTATACTTGGGAATGGGAAGGAGGGACTATTCACATCTTTATCATAACCAAACAGAATAAAGTCTCTCTTATAAAACTGATACAGAGCGTCAATGTCAGACTGGGAGAGGGAATTAAACAGTTCCTTGGTTACTTCTGTTGTTGATTTGTATTGTCCGGAGGGGGAGACTTTGTCTGCTTTTACTACCTCGTCTCCAACACCAAGCTGAAGGAAAACAGATTTTACAAACACTTTTTAGGATATCAAAGATCTGGTATTCATTAGATTTTTTAAATCTACATTTTATCGCTGTTAAAATCACGCAGGCTGGGTAAACATTGTCAATTATTCATGAAAATCTGAGAAGTGTTGAACGTGCGGGGAATTTAAAAATTTTAAAAAATTCACAACACTCCCTAAATTAAAATCCTCACTAATACCCAGAGTTGGAGGTCTCACCTGATCTAGAATATAGTTGGTATCATCATTCAGATACTCAAAGAATCCCACGTGGTTATATCTGACCGCACAAGGTTGACATATCTCCGACTGTGGCATCCAGTGTCTGTCTACTATGCCGCTCTTTACACCACCCACAAACTCTTGGAATGTTACCAGGTTACCAGCTGGGTTCTTCAGGAACTTAGTTTCGGCTCCTTTACCCCGCAGTAGCTTTATGATGGGTATACCATAGTTCTTGTAGAAATATTTGTTTATTCTACCATCAACCATCAGCAGTTTGTTTCTCCAGGCCGATACCATGCGAGTGAAAGGGTGCCGGAACATTACGAACTTGTAGTAGTCTCTGTAAGGAGGGTATAGGATATTGCCGTCAACTTTAGTTAGCGCCTGTATCCGCGGGTCGTTGTGGACGTTCTTTAGAGCGTTAACTTGCGCTCTTGTCATTTTGTCACGTGATTTCTTATCCATACTCAGAACTATCATAGTTCTCTTCCAGTTTGTAGAGGCCACCTGCGGTTACAGTAGATTATATAACTGTTAACATGAACTGAACTTTGTATCAATACTTACTTCCTACTGGATAAAAGATACTGCTCACTATAATACGTTATTAACATAGTTATTCTGGGCTAAATGTTTCAGCACGGCAGTAGTGATTCCTGGGTCGAAGTAAAAATAATCAATTCACTGAGGTGTCATCGGACCAGTACTCTGAAAAACATGCATCATACACGGGGTATACCATCCTCTCATTCATATCTCGTAAAACAAGAACAGATCTTTCCCGACTTTATAAGAGTTTGATAAGTCAAACCCCAAAACAGTGAGTAACTGGTCGGGGGCAGGCCGCATGGAGCAAAGTATTAAAATTATTGGCTCATGACATGTAATGGAAGTCACTGGATCAAATAAAACAATTTGGCGCGTGGCCTGGCAGGGCATAAATTAAAAGTGCAGCCAGAAAAACGTGCGATTTGCGCGGCGTTGGTCCTTAAAAATGTCTATCGCGCGTTACATAAACGTACATATAATGGGTCTGTCAGTTCGGGTATTGGGCAAGTTTACGCATTACTTCATGGGTGAGTGACGTTAAGTTATAATCAAGAGGGGAGGATATAATGTGATATAATGTACAAGGTGGGGCGAAATAATGACAGAAAGAACAATACTGATTGTAAAGCTGCGACACTTTATTAATTATAAGGTGCATCAAACCGAGTGCAGGCTGCAGTCTGCATGTATGATTTACCGTGTAATGTATATGTAGATAGAATGTAGATAGAATGTGGATAGAATGTAGATAGAATGTAGAAAGAATGTAGATATAATGTAGAAAGAATGTAGATAGAATGTAGATAGAATGTAGATAGAATGTAGATAGAATGTAGATAGAATGTAGATAGAATGTAGATAGAATGTAGATAGAATGTAGATAAAATGTAGATAGAATGTAGATAGAATTTAGATATAATGTAGATATAATGTAGATAGAATGTAGATAGAATGTAGATAGAATGTAGATACAATGTAGAAAGAATGTAGATAGAATGTAGATAGAATGTAGATAGAATGTAGATAGAATGTAGATAGAATGTAGATAGAATGTAGATAGAATGTAGATAGAATGTAGATAGAATGTAGATAAAATGTAGATAGAATGTAGATAGAATTTAGATATAATGTAGATATAATGTAGATAGAATGTAGATAGAATGTAGATAGAATGTAGATAGAATGTAGATAGAATGTAGATAGAATGTAGATAGAATGTAGATAGAATGTAGATAGAATGTAGATAGAATGTAGATACCTTACTCGGGATTATTACGACGGGTTTATTAACGACCGGTTAAAATATGGTTCGGGAAAAATATGGCGAAATTGCTCAAAACCCACCACATTTTCCCGGTCGCCATTTTACCGGTGTCCAACCTTTCAATTTTAGATTCAAAAATTTTGTCTCAGATGTAAATTTCCTTATTAGAGATAAGCAAGTTTAGAAATTTTCGCATTGCTAAAACTTGTGAAACAAGTCGAATTATCAATAATTGTTGAAAGTAGACAGAAATAATGACTCGTGGTTAATCAAACTAGATGGAAAATAATTTTTAACATTTGAAGCGTAACAACCAGATCGATATTAAGATAAAGGGAGAGCTGTTTAGTCTTCCAATAAGTTGTAATCATCTTCGTTATCTTCATCTGGATCATCCCTTTCATCAGTTTTAATTAATTCAAGTTTTAATTTAACTGTTACTTTTACTTTGAGTCCTATTTCATTATGTAGAGATAGTCAATACCTAAGAAATTAAAAATTGGCCTATTTAAATCAAATTTGACAATAAGGATATATGACAAGAATTGGGCAAAAAGGTGAATTTATTGCAATTTTAGCCAAATGAAGTCGAAAAACCTACAACAAGTGTCCCAATAGTCTTCTTTAGTGAATATAAGACAAAGATTAAAATATGAGCACCCATACCCCTTGGGAACCCTAAAACCTGAGTAGGCGGGTTTATTAACGACCGGTGAAAATGTGGTTCGGGAAAAATATGGCGAAATTACCCTAAACCCACCACTTTATCCCGGTCATAATAATCCCGAGTAAGGTAGAATGTAGATAGAATGTAGATATGACAACAATAGTTCCAACACTTACCTTTGGAATAGAGCAGTAAAGGAACTTGTAGTTAGAATCGAACTTAGTGAAATAGTTCAGAGCAATACCTTGTATATTCTCCCCGTACTTTGACATTGGGATGGTTTCTATCTTCTCACACGCCTTGAAGAAACTAGTGGTTAGCCATTAACTGAATTTATTTAATACAGATAGAAATTAGTATAACACAAGTTATATTGCGACAATAGAACAAGGTATCTTGTTATTGAACATTACAATATTTAACCACTGAGAAATCAGCACCCCTCTAATAAATCTGTTACTGTCAGTTTCTATTAATATTCTGAAAGAAACACGTGTGTGTTCAGTGCTAACAGTGTAGTACTAGATTCAGAGCTGAACTATAACACATATGTGAGAACTTCTCTTGGAGTTACAGCGTATAGCAGTGTAGTACTGTGTAACCATATGTGTAACCATATGTGTAACCAGATGTGTAACCAGATGTGTAACCAGATGTGTAACCAGATGTGTAACCAGATGTATAACCAGATGTGTAACCAGATGTGATCATGGCCCCGGCAAGGGGTGCACAGTCGACTGGAGCGGAGGAACGGAGATAGAATTTAGTGATCCAGATATGTTTTTATAAATTTGTATTACTATCCGATATAAAGTTACAGTTTCAGTTATGACAGTTCACGTCTTCACGATAGTGGACTTATAATTTAATTTTAATATAATTATTATAATTTAATTTTAATCCATGTAAAAATCCTGTGTAAAAATCCTGTGTAAAAATCCCGTGTAGTCCGGCTTTGATGTCCTAGGTCACTGCACTAGCAGATGTTACAGTTTTTATAGAGTAATGTATTTAACTAACATATGGAAAACTAATCAGTACTTCATACTAAGAGAAACTACCTACAATATACTAAGAAGGTAATCTAATGTGCTACGATTCAGAGTACCTAGAGGTTTCGTAATGTTACAACAGCTGCTGTTACCCTATATTGCAGTGGTGGGGTGGGTGGGTGGTGTGGCGGAGTGCGGTGGGGTGGGGTGTGGTGGGGTGGGGTGGGGTGTGGTGGGGTGTGGTGGGGTGGGGTGTGGTGGGGTGGGTGGGTGGTGTGGTGGGGTGTGGTGGGGTGGGTGGTGGGGTGTGGTGGGGTGGGGTGTGGTGGGGTGGGGTGGGGTGGGGTGGGGTGGGGTGGGTGGACTTATTGCTGAGTATTATCAGTTATTGTTAACAGATTTATTAATTTTATTAAAGACTAAAGATATCACTTCTCATTTTAATAGTTATTAGATTACAGGTCTATATCATGATAATATAATAGTACTTAATAATCAGATTTATATATAGTACTTAATAATGAGATTTGATCGTAATCTTCTTACAGCGTTCGATGTCTGTATGAAGGTAAAATGCCGGTAGAGGCCCTCTGCCAGAGGGTCCGCAGTAGTCCCATTACCTTAGTACCTATTGCTGTACAACTACTACTATATAGTACTTTAATTTCTGAATATCAAACATTTCTAAGTTTCTATACTGTGCCTCACTATTATACCGGGTACCTCAATCTACCGGGCCTCTTCTTTACCCCAAAATTTTAGTTAATTAGCTCGTTTTGTGCAATAAATGTTATTATATTATAGCTTATATCGCATTTGGTGTTAATTTGAGTCCATATCGAGCTGTATTCCATCACAATACGACACAATATAATGGGCATATTGGGCCCTAATGTATATGACTACTACTACTACTAATGTATATGATACGCTTGACAAGTTATTTTAAAGGCTATAGATACTGAGGATTGGAATCACGTGTGGTGGGGTGTGAACCCCTCCTTTTCTAAACCGTGAACTTTCCCCGAGAGGCCGGGTCCTGGTATATATATATACTGTACTGTACTGAGACACTTTAATACTAAAACACACGCAGTTGATAAAAGGGTATCTTTAAAAGTTTTTACAGTTTAATGTTTAACAACTAGAGTTGTACTACTGTTATAGTACTAGAGTTCTAGGTACCTGTGTGTAGCTGCTTACTGGATAATTACAAATATATATGACATAGTATTGTACTACACTGACTTAGAACCTGCTCAAAAGGTAGTAATATACATTAAAACCCAGATTCACCGCGGAGTTTTGGAGAAAGGAAATGGCTGCGGTTAATCGGGGTTTACGGTAAATTGGGGCTTTACTGTTCTCTGAATACCAACACACTAACAATGTCACAATATGTAAAACAAACTAAAATTATAAGAATACCATACAATACCATACAATACCTATACAATATTAGGGGTCGCCCATCGATTTCAGATGCCTAAATCAATTTGCCCTCTGTCAGAACTTGTAGCCAATAAAAATGAAGTTTACCGCCCATTTCAAAACTAGTCTAAACGTTGGGATTAGTTTGATTGCACGTTTTGTCGGGTGCTCTCATACCTACCCGTGGTATTTAACTTCACAGTTTACGTTAAAACTTCACAGTTTAGATCCTTTTTTACTAGGTTATTTATTCATTTTGAGTGTGTGCCTGTAATCGGAGCTATATAAATGAGCGTCAGCACTAAGTTTGTAATTGAATCATTATTATATCGAAACTTATTGTTCGCGTTCTTATAATAGATGAATTTCTTCAGAGGACTGATGAATCACGAGATATCCTGAATCTGATTGGCTATGGCTTCTTATTTATCCTCACAACGCTCAAATGCTGGTTTTCTGATATAAACCTGATTCCGTTATAAGGTAGCTTGGAGTGAAAGTTATCGTTGTGAGTGGTGACATTAAACTCCTGATAATGATCCCGTGCAACACGACATCTGTCCGACAGCGACATCTGTCCGACAGCACTATTTTCTTGTGTTTGAAGTGATATCTCAAATTTGGCACATAGAAATTCACCCTAACTTCCACAAATTATTTGTACCACCATACTTTATTGAAAGTACAATATGATCCGACATACACTATTGTCCGGATAATCTATTTTCTGAGTCGGACAGATTTCGCTGTCAGACAGATCGAATTTTAATGAGATCAATCGAATTTTAATGAGATCACGTGACTAACCCGTGCCGAATGATTGGGTGACGTTCAACAAGGAAGCAAGAAGAACCAGAACAGTGATCTGCACTGATTAGGTGACGAGCGACTTGTATAAAATTTATGTTTTTGCTGATTGGGTCACAATTCACATTCAACAAGGAAGCAAGGAGAACCCGAACGGTGATCAGCACTGATTGGGTCACGTTCGACAAGCAGGACTGTCAGCCCTGATAGGGCCATGATATGGTGGTATAAAAGAGAAGACCATTACATTACAATTTATTAAGTACTTATCACTCCTCTCAACTACAACCTATTCTAAACTTACTCCTGATCGTATGGCTCTCGGACATTACCTGACCTTTATCGGAGGGAAGGCTCCTTTACCTGATCCTGCTGCACTTCTGACTGCCGGGGATGTCTTGAGATACCTGTCCTTCTGTGCCACTCCTACTCTAACTGGAACTCCTCTACTTCACCAGGTGGCTCAGACTCTCTTGGACACCTACTGCTGCTCCGACTCCCACAAGTCTCTTGTCGGGTTAGCATTTTGTTAATTTTTTACGTATTGTACTGTATTGTATTGTATCTGGTAGTGTACTGTATTGTATCTGGTTTTCAATACCGTATTTATATTAAGGGTATTTTACATTATACCGTTTTGTACTGTATTTTATCTTTTATTGTTCTTTGCTGTGCTGTATTGTATCTGGTATTGCAATTTTATTGTATTTTATCTGATAGGCGGTGACCTATCTAAGAACAATTTTAATTCCTGTCCTTTTGTACTTCATTCTGCCTCTAATTTTAACATCATAATTTCTGGTTAAACGTTAATAAAGGTAATAAATGTTATTATTTCAGGAGACTGAAGAAAACTCGAGAACAAGCTCGTAAATATTCTACTTTAAGCGTTCAAACTGTCAGAAAGCGGAAGGAAGAGCTCGAGAAGAAGATTTTCATTAACTATTCTTCCTCTTCTGAAGTTCAGTCCCAGACACCTACACCAGTAACTTCTGAAGTCGTGCTCGTTCCAGAGATCAACGTTGACAGTTCTGCGAGCCCTGAACCTGTTTTTGACCAGAATCTCTCTCCTGCAACTGCTGTTTCCCCTGTCCATGAACCTGTTGCTGACCAGAATCTCTCTCCCGTAACTGCTGTTTCCCCTGTCCATGAAGCTGAACCTTCTGCCCAGACTCAGGTAATATTAACACATATAATATTGGATACATGGGACATTCATGATGAGCAACCAATTGGTTTTTTTGGTAATTTATGGCTATTAACCAGATTCGTTAACGCGTCATTTCGGGCCAAGACAGCTAAGTTGGAGCTTATATTAAGTTTTGTTTAAGTTGTCTCATTTTTGCTATTTTCAGTCACGCAATTTACGAGAGGGAAAGAGAAGACGGAGTCTACAACTGGACTCTGACACCGAGGGATCAGACAGTGATACCGACAGCGACAGCGACTTTGAACCTGACCAGAGGTAAAAATCTCCTACTTTATTGGTGGAAAGTTTCCGGTTTTAAGTTTTTTTTTGGAAATTGGAAGTTTCAGTTTCAATAAAATATTCCATCCCCGTGACATCTCATCAACCGTGTCTAAAATTGTATCAATTTTGCATAAAATGGTTCCAAATTCAAAGGGACCTTTTCAATATATAGAGTTACAGGACTTACTGAGAATAACGTACATTTCAAAATTTAACGTTTAACTAATCCTTCAGGACACCACCAGCTAAGAAAGGGAGACACAACTTAAAGAAGCTGGGAGATCTTAGATCAGAACAGATATCCAACAGGAGCGCATCCCGTATTCTCAGCAAATACAACGAGGTAATCGGGATACAGGAGCAGGTGACAGAGAAGATGATCCGGGACATGCGGGCTAAGGGTTTGTTGTAAATGTATACTTTCCGATGCATATTATGATTCTATTGTGTATGGTTCCGTTAATTTATATTATATAAATCCGTTTAGTTTTTAGTGTAATACCCTGTAATGTATTATTATATAAAATTTGATAAGTTTGAAATATTTGAAATATTTGTTCGGAATAGTAAAATTCAAGTGACAGATAATTGTGAGAGTAACATTAGATCACTGTTATAAATAACATTTGGTAAATATGTAAGTTTTATAACCCTAGCAGAAACAACTTGGCAAGGCACTTAGGTAGTAACCACACCAAAATACGTGGACACATACCACTGTAACGGTATGTAGATTAACTAGATCCACACTATTCTAGTTCTACACAGTGCAGCTTCATGTAGTATTACTGAGGGGGGGGGGGGCCCTTTTATAATTAAAAAAGCCCCCCCCCCCCCCCTTTTGGTATGAAGCTAGTCGTTACTTTTTATACTCCGTATTACCAAGTGTACTCTGAATACTCCAGCAACACTACCTTTATGAATAACATCTAACTTAGATCGGGTTCTGGACAAAACCTAGAAATGACAACACCTGCTATATTGTACACATATTATACACGTGCATAACACGTGCAAGACAATCTTAACCAATCAGCAGTGATTGTTCGAGGACACACTTAGTAATAATATTACCGATAAAACTTAGCGGTCATTATAAGGAGAGGAAATTAAGCTGATCCCAATACAGTGGGGTGATGAGTAGTAGTATTTTTATCATTGTGAAAGACACGTGATATTTGTAGAAAACATAACACAGTCAGAGTTAATACAGTGGGTCTAGTTAGTAAGCCATGTAACTTAATACAATATTAAAACATTCACAACATTACACTTTAAAGCCCACCTGCCCACCTGCCCAGAATATCAACCAATGCTCTGGATAAATTATAGTAATTAAACTCAGTGAGTCGAGAAATTGAACAACATTTACACAGTAAGTAATAGCTAATGATAACATAATCTGTTTTGGAAACTGAATTCAAGATGACATTATTAGCTGGGCCGGGTCAGTGAGAATAGTTAAATCCTCAGGAGATTATCTCCACCACTCACACCTCTTGTAAACTATTAAGTATTTATCCAGGTTAATCAATTTAAACTAACCTCAGAACGTTTCTTCATCCACATGTCTTGATCAGTGTGACGCTCAACTTCCTCTTTAGAGTCGTCCTCTTTAGAGTCGTCCTCTTTAGAGTCGTCCTCTTTAGAGTCGTCCTCTTTTACATTTTTAGAGTCGTCCTCCTTCAACACTGCATCTACGATATTATTCAACACTGCTTCCTGGGGAACTTCTTTTACTTCTTTTACTTGAGCTTACTGACATAGTGAATATAATAATTACTTCTTTTACAGGTTTACTTGAAGTGTCAGAGGTATGTAACCGGAAATACAGGTAGATGAAAGTGAACAACAAGATGAACGTATTCTCTAAGAATGACATCTCGCCAGGCAACATATCACATATTAACATAATATGTGTATAATATGTGTATAATATGTGTATAATATGTGTATAATGAACATTACCTTCCCACTCTGTGAAGTAACGTGTTCTGATGTGGTAGCTGGTAGGGTTACTATAGGACCTTGATTTACACCAGCTGAAATAAAAATCAATATTCAAATATCCCACTACCATTTTGTAATGTTCATCCAACTTGAAAAAAACTGACATATCTGCTGTTTAAAGTTCAGTGCTTCGAGAAGTTAAACATTTAGCTAAATATAACACTGATATATTTACTTCTGTTAGAAAATCAAAAGATCATAATTTCTGCAGTGTTCATAATTACCTCGCTGCTTCAGAGAATTGGCCGATTGAACAACATACGAGACCACAGCTGAAATGAGTAAATGTGAAACAAGTCACGTGATGCCCATATAAGGTTATAACAATTGCTTAATTATTGAACAATATTGGAGCTAGCATACCAGATCACTAACATGAAATGTATACTAATGCTATGTCCTTGATATTTATTTGAGCGATTAGTAAACAGAAGAATTTAGAACTAGATGTACACAATGAAAAATAACAGATTCAACTCACATTGATATTTATCCTCGTGGAACTGATAAATATAAATACCAACTCCTGCCAGAGCAAGAATACATAGAATTACAGGTAAATTCTTCATCAGAGGCTTTGTCAGGTACCACAGTTCATAACAACTAGCATGAGCAGGCTAGAGAAATACAAAATGGAGTGATCAAAAGATAAAAGAGCATAGTAATATACCAAACAACAATAACCAAAATACATTGTTATGATGAAAATTTACAAGAACTTGAGAATTAAATTCAAGATCTCACAATAGCTTGATACACTAATTTAACTTCGAGTATCCTGCTTTCTTATTGGAGCAAAAGATTAGATTGCGAAGAGCAGGTATAAATTATTCCATTGTTAAATCTTTAAATGCTTTCACAAAACTGTTAGGCAGAATAAATTCTTCTAATCATTTGAGGAATAAATCAATTCAATTGAGAACGAAATTATCGTATTTCAAGTATTTTGAATTATTGGATCAAGCTAGAGCATTTCTTCTATACATTTCTGTCACACTGTGCTGAAATACACATTCAGAGACAGTGGCTTCGCTTAGACCCTGCTGAGCTGGTCCGCACCATCTTAAAAGGGTGGCACCTAAACGTTATTTGAATGTGGGACAATTTTGAAAAACATAACTTCAGTGCTACCAAAATAGCACATTTTACTCTACAATATTTTAGAAATTTTATCGACGAATTGTCTCAAATCATCAATCGATTTTACCTTTCTATTTTACTAAGGGGATGTGGCTCCGAAAGAGGGTGTTAAGGACACAGGGACCGGTGCCAACATAAAATTTTACACTACTGATGGGAGCTTAGATTCCAAGATGACTGGGATATCGAGCATTGTAAAATTGTTCATTGTGTGGGATTGTGCAGAGGTGGCTAATCACATTATCAGACACTTGGAGAGGATGAATGATCAAAATGGTGCATTCAGCAAAGAGCAAATTTGCACAATAGCGTGAGTAGCTTTTGTTGATGTGCCTTGAAAGTGATCTTAAACGATTCCCCATTCAATTCTGATCGGAACACGTCAACTTAGTGCAGAATGGGGGGGGGGGGCCAATGGCATAAAATGGCATAAAATGGCATAAAATGGCATAAAATGGCATAAAATGGAGACTTTTTCTATGGAGAAAATGGAAAAACCCATGAGTAATTCTCCATTTTCTCCATTTTATGCCATGAATTTTGTCTTCGAAATTTCATCTTTAACACCATTTAACACCTAAATTGGACATCCTAACATGTTTATTTACGCTTACTAGGGGCGTAACAAGCTTATGAAAGCTCATAGTAGGCTACTAGATGCTTATACTAGGTTAGTAGAGGCACACTTCAGGCAAACTCATAATTACTCAAGCCTGGTGTAAAGTTATTTCTACAGGCTACAGCAGGAGTGAGTAATAGGGGAGAGTAATAGGCACTGAGAAGTGAGACCTACATCCTCGACAGTCGAAACAAGCTCGCACTGCAAAGGGGAGACCTGCCTTCCGAGATCGCATACGTACCTCTCGTATCGAGAGCTCCCGATTCCGAGCTCGTGTTGCAAAGGGGAGGCCTGCCTTCCGAGATCACATTACCAGGGGGAAGCCTCGAGTCCAAAATTGTGTACCGAGGGGTAATTCTTTAAGTCAAAATTTTTCAAAGTTTTTCTGAAAAACACTTTTCTCCACGTTTCATGCTACCTTGTTCATTATAAGCCGAAAATATTTTTTCGGTCAAACTTTTTCAAATTTTTTCTGAAAACCGCTTTTCTCCAGGTTTCATGCTACTCTGTTCATTATTTGCCGAAAATATTTTTTCGGTTTTTCACCTTCCGCTCGATACACAATTTTGGACTCGAAGTAATGCGATCTCGGAAGGCAGGCCTCCCCTTTGCAACACGAGCTCGGAATCGGGAGCTCTCGATACGGGAGGTACGTATCGAAAATGACTCGGACCGAACATTTTCTAAGTCAACATTTTTCAAAGTTTTTTCTGAAAACCACTTTTCTCCATGTAATGTTTCATGATACTCTGTTCATTATTGGCCGAAAATATCTTTTTTTTAAATAATTTTTCTCGAAATTCTAAATTTTTCAGGTTTTCAATGGCATAAAATGGCATAAGATGGCATAAAATGGAGACTATTTCTATGGAGAAAATGGAAAAACCTATGAGTGATTCTCCATTTTCTCCATTTATGCCATTGGCCCCCCCCCCCCCCCCCCCCCCCCTGCAGAATCAAGCAAGTTATAGACATATTTCATACATATCAAATTGGATGTGCTTTCGGTGAAGATATAGCGCATACATATGGTTCCGTGCCATTTTACTGACACCACGCAGTGGCGTAACTTTGACTGTAACAGTCAAAGGCGCCCCCCGCTCAGTGACGAAAAGTGCCCCCCCCCTAAAATTTTTTGTGTCCCTAAAAAAAAAGGTCGGGTACTTTTTTTCTCGCCCCCCCCCCCCCCTACAGCTTTTTGCGCCCCCCCTGAAGCAAAAAAGGTACCCCAAATATTTTTTCGCGTCCACCGAACGTTAAATTGGACAGGAAAATACACAAATAAGGCGTTTTTTCAGTGAAAGGGCCTAAAATTTAGGAAAATTGCGCCCCCCTTATACGGCCCACCCCCCCCCCCCCCCCCCCGGCACAGCATGGTCTGCGGGGCCCTAAGTTACGCCACTGACACCACGGCATCAACTTTAACGGGACTTTCCTCAAAAACCGTAAAAGATATACAACTGAAACTTTTTTGACTGGGTCAAATGCTTTAATGGCCTTCAAATCAGTATGAAAAAATAAAAAATTGGCCAAGGAATAAGAATTTTAGTGCCCAAAATTTGGATCCCCAAGTGGTGTCAAAAACGCGAATTAAATAGGTACCCTTGGGGACACCACTGGAAAAATGACCTGTCACAAATACAATGGAAGCAGTGTGGTTGACTATTTTGTAATCACCTCATGGGCAAGAGATCATGTAAACTCTCTCCAAGTAAAAGAGTTTACATCATACTCTGATCATTGTCCATTAGTCTTGAAACTCACTACATTTGAACCATTTGTCGCAAACTTCCAGCTCCCAGACTTTTCTAACTTTCCTTGTGGCTATAAGTGGGATAGCAACACCTCCCATTCACTATTTAAAAAAGCCCTTACCTCGCCCGAAATTATCAACAATCTGGAAAGCATTGTGACAAATGAATTTAGCAGTACTCTCGAGGGCAATCACGAACTGAACGATGCAGTCATAAAATGTCTCCACAGTGCTGCTGATATAGCCTTAAAAGTGAAAAAGCCTCCCAAAAATTCTGCCCGTAAGAAATGGTTTGACCCACAAGTCAACTCCTCGCGGCGGAACCTAAATAGGCTAGCAAACCGGCTTGGTAGTTAGCACTGTAACAGTATCCTCAGACGAGAATACTTTAAGCAACGCAACAAGCATAGCAATTTTGTAAACAGTAAGAAAGTAGCTTTCCTTAAGAAGTTAAATGAAGCTATAGAAGAAGGTCACATACTCGACTGGAAAAAATTTAAACGGCTTAAACAAGAACATGACACTAGCCCCTTACTTGACAAATTTGATTTAGCTAGCTTCCATGACTTCTTTGCATCCCTTTATAAAAAACCAGACCAGGAGCCAGATCTCACTCACCACAATCACAAACATTACCCTGAACCACCAGATCTGGATATCCTAAATAAGCTCATGTCAGAATCTGAAGTGACCTCTGTTGGTAGCTGTATGGGTAAACTGTTTTCTAGCATCTTACTTGAGCGTCTCCGGCACTTCAAAAAGCTCTACTGCCCTGACCCAAAAGAACAACTAGGGTTCTCGAAGGGTGCTCAAACAAATGACCACGTTTTTACCCTTAAGACAGTCATTGACAAATATACCAAGGTTAAGAAAGCTCGTCTCTATGCATGCTTTGTTGATCTAAGAAAGGCCTTTGACACTGTATGTAGGGACCTCCTTCTGCACAAAATCACATGCCTTGGAATAACTGGAAACTTCTTCAATTGCCTAAGTGATATGTATAGAAACTCAATAGCTCATATTAAAATCTCCAAACTCTTGTCCCCTAATATTGACATTGGAAAAGGAACAGAGCAGGGACACCCTCTATCACCGGACCTTTTTAAAATCTATATCAACGACTTGTCATCTCTCCTGAAATCTGTTGGTGATTATCCTATTCTAGCTGACGTCCTAATATCACATCTGCTCTGGGCTGACGATCTTGTCCTACTTGCCCTAAGTCCCAAGGCCTTGCAAGACAATATAAACATGTCCTATTCGACTTCTGTAACTCTATGGGCCTTGAAGTAAACATTAAAAAAACCAAGATTCTCATATTCTGCCCTCCTAAAAGAAAAAAATCCTATGAAACATTCATTCTGGGAGGCCAGCCCATCCAACACACCGAAAAATACTGCTATCTTGGCATTATATTCCACAGAAATGGATCTTTTACAGCAGCAAATACTGAACTGAGGGCCAAGGCTCTCCGTGCTCTCTATGGCCTCAAAGGCAATATCGTCAAAGATGCCCTCTCTCACCGTTCCCTAAACATTCTATTTGACTCTCTAATAAAACCGATACTGCTCTATGGCTGCCAAATCTTATGTCCTCACTCAAAAACCATGAGATACCTCTCCAAAACAGATAGCAAAGCCAACCCCCAGCATACTCTCAGGTACATCTCACAAGACCACTATGAAAGATTCCACCTTAATTTTATCAAGTGGTCCTTGTCTGTCCATTCAAAAGCATCAAATATAGGCTGCTGGGGTGAAAGTGGGCGCCACCCCCTCTTCTTTGAAGCCTGCAAACTTGCAATAGATTTCTATAGTCGTCTTGAAAGCACTGAAAATGAACTTCTCCCCGCTGCATTTCACGAGCAGATTATGCTGGGCCTTCCTTGGTACACCAACATCTCTAATCTTCTCACCAAATATAACTTCCCCCACTCATCCTCTTCAAAATCCAAGCTCTCTACCCAAATCAGTCACAACATGAGGGAAGAATTTGTGGATACCTGGAAATCTGCCAAGGCATCCTCACCTAAATTAGAATTCTACAATCAAATTAAACATGATTTTGAACCAGAAACATACTTAGGAGTGGTTAAGATCCCCGATGCTC